TGTTGGGTTCCATTGAACCCTTCCTTCTTCAATAGGACAAGGACTTGTAAGGTTGTAGAATGGAGAGTGGGGTAAAAGAAGGATTTGGAACTTCCCCACTTGCATTTAGTGGAGTCTGAGAGCTAATAATGAATAGTAACTCAAACCTAGACTTGTATATATCAATTAATATATTAATGATTGTGGAAAAAACCATCCGAAAACCTAACGAACAATAACAAAACACAAGGTCGATGATTTGTGCAAAAAGTCATAGACGAAAACCTAGCGAACAATAACTTAACACAAAGGTTGTAGAATGGAAAGTGGGGTAAAAGAAGGACTTGTAGCTTCCCCACTTGCACTTGGAGGAGTGTGAGAGCCACTAATGAATAGTAACTCAAATCTAGATTTTTATATATTAAATTGTGCAAAAAACATATACGAAAACCTAACGAACAATAACAAAACACAAAGGCGACGATTTGTGCAAAAAGCCATAGACTAAAACCTAGCGAACAATAACTAAACACAAAGGTTGTAGAATGGAGAGTGGGGTAAAAGAAGGACGTGTAACTTCCCCACTTGCACTTGGAGGAGTGTGAGAGCCACTAATGAATAATAACTCAAACCTAAGCTTTTATATATTCATATATTAATTAATGATTTAGCAAAAAACCATATACGAAAACCTATCGAACAATAACAAAACACAAAGGCAATGATTTGTGCAAAAAGCCATAGACGAAAACCTAGCGAACAATAACTAAACACAAAGGTTGTAGAATGGAGAGGGGTAAACGAAGGACTTATAACTTCTCCACTTGAACTTGGAGGAGTGTGAGAGCCGCTAATGAATTGTAACTCAAACCTAGGCTTTTATGTATTAATAATTAATCACAAAGGCGATGATTTATACAAAAAAACATAGACGAAAACATAGCGAACAATAACAAAATACAAAGGCGATGATTTGTGCAAAAAGCCATAGACGAAAACCTACCGAACAATAACTAATCACAAAGGTTGTAGAATGGAGAGTGGGGTAAAAGAATGACTTGTAACTTCCTCACTTGCACTTGGAGAAGTGTGAGAGCCACAAATAAACAGTAACTCAAACCTAGGATTTTATATATTAATTAATCTATGTTTTTAAATATTAATAATTAAACACAAAGGCGATGATTTTTGCAAAAAACCATAGACTAAAACCTAACGAACAATAACGAAACACAAAGGCAATGATTTGTGCAAAAAGTCATAGACGAAAACCTAGCGAACAATAACTAAACACAAAGGTGATAGAATGGAGAGTGGGGTAAAAGAAGGACTTGTAACTTCCCCACTTACACTTGGAGAAATGTGAGAGCCACTAATTAATCACTACGGGAAAATGGACCTCTTGCAACACTCGGATTGCAACACTATGTAAAAGTGTTGTGTTAAATATCTAATGGCAACACTTTATTCTAGGGTTGCGTATAAGATAGTATAGGCAACCCAAATTAGTTATGTGTTACAATTGTTCTATTATATGCAACACATATAATGCGGTGTTGCATATTCATATAGTATATGCAACATTTTAATGATTTGAGTTGCAAAATGTAATTTGTGAGGTAATTTGATCTAAGGAATAAATTAGGTAATAATTATTATTATTGGTCAAAGGTTAATTAAAGGGAAGGATCAGCCGTGATATACTCTATACGGCCAAAAAGATAATCATGCTAACTTTAAAAGCTTTGCCCTCATCTACTTTTCCCTCCAACAGTCCAACTCCATACCTTAATTACGTAATTAAATCTTATTATTTTTGGGAAATATCTACCATAAATCCATAATATCGCAAAGGAAAGCTCCATGTCCCTCCTATTAATTCTATTCATAACTCTTAGGGTTTCCACGCCAAATAAAACCCATTTACCACTCATCCAAATCTCGATCAACCTGGTCTTCTCGTCTCTTTCCAGCCGCTCACCAAACTTCTTTGAGGCAAGCTCGTCGCCGTCAACTTGTTCTCTATACTAATGTAAAAAAAAGCTTGTGTCTCTCCTCATGTGCGATCAATTATATACCCTTTGTTTTCTGTTTTGACAGCAATGAGCGTTAGTTGTGTGACTTGTAAGAGAAGAGCCACAAAGAGAGGGCTAAAGGCTGGCTATGATACAGAAGAGAATTTGGACGAGCCGCAGATGGATGTAGAGAATATGCCCGAAGGATTTTCATTTCGTATACATAGTCATCACGTTAACATTTGTCACTAAAGAGCTTATGTGACAATTTGATTGTGGCCGAAGAAATTATTCATGACAAATTGATTTATCACAAATGTTGCATTTTATTTTTAGTGATGATCGTAGTTGTCACAATAGATACATTTTGTGATGGGAAGTTGATCACTGATAAAGACAATATGTAATGTCTATGTCGATAACCCTTGTCACCAAAATAAACAAATGACACAATTTTATTGTCACAAAAAAAAAAACTTTTGTGACAAATCAATTAATCACCAATTACGGATTTTAGTTATCAATAAAATTGTCACAAATAGTGATTTCGATGGAAACCGAAGTAGGCCCTAGAACGTACGTTGAATTTCAAAAGGTGTATTTGTGACAGAACTATGGTCACATGTTGACAAAATTGTCACAATTAGGTTAGTCTGAAATTGTCATAAAAAAGGCTAAATGTTGCAAAAAATTGTGAAAAAAGTTGCATATGTTCTTAAAATGTGTTGCAAAAATTTCTAAATGTGTTGTCTAAACTAGTGTTGCAAAAGAGGTAAACATACGCAACTCATTTTATTTTGGTTGCCAAAGATGGAAAAACAGTTGTCTATTCTTTTTGCAACCCCCACTATAAGCAACCCCAGCAAAAGTGTTGCGATAGCATTTTGCAACTCTTTTAAAGCTTTACGTAACACATTTTTAAGGATTGCAAGAGGGCCTTTTTCATGTAGTGAATAGTAACTCAAACCTAGACTTTTATATATTAATTAACTATTAGAGGCTCCAATCCTACTTTAGTGATTTAGAAACTTTCTCTTATGGTATAATCCAAGTACCATATCACATATACTAGGAAAATGCCCCTTGTATATAAGTTTCAACCAATCTAATCGTAACGAGACATTTTGGGAGGAAAACAGAAAGTAAATTCATGTGGATATGAGCCAAAGCGGATAATATCATACTAATGAAGTACCTGATCCAACAACTTGTACCAGAAAATTCAGTGCGTTGGATTTTTGAATGGATCGTCAATGCGCGACCTCGGGATTTGAGATACACATCTGGTGGTCTAGCTCGTCCCAGCCAACAACCATGACATCGATGCCCGTCCTCGACAGCGGGTTTGCCGGTTTCTTCCTCCCAGGCGACGCGATGGGCGACTTGACGGTTGGTGTTGCAGAGAACGTAGCCCTGGAACTTGGCGGACTAAGGGCTCACTCTAGCTTAGATCTCATAGAGCGAGCCGATTCATGAGTTGTGAGTTCTGACCAACTAAGGGCTCACTCTAGCTTAGATCTCAGAGAGCGAGGCGATTCATGAGTTGTGAGTTGTGACCAACTCATCCTGCTCTAACACACCACTGATCGAATTAAGATGAATTGTGACAAAGAGATTTAGGGATTTGAGCCAAATATTAGATTGTGAAGCATTAGGGTGCGTTTGGATAAGTGTATTTTAAATTTAAGGTATTTGAAATACTAGCATTTGAAATGGATGTATTTGAAATATTAACATTTGAAATACATGTAATTCAAATTCGTTGTTTGGATACTCATTTGTAATTTGTTTGTATTTTGTATTTTATGATTTTCAATTTCAATTTTCTGGTCACTTACTACAAATTTTGGTAAATTACAGTTTGGTACCCAAATTTATATTTTCTTGCAATTTAGTACCTAAAATTTTACAAAAAAGTCCTGAAATTTTGATGGTAAAATTACATTTTTGTACCTTTATATGTTTTGCCTCACACTATAATACCTAAACTTTTTATATTTTACAAATAGGTCCATTCTTTTGTTAGGAGTTATTTCAAATCACTAGTTGTTGAAATGTATTTGGAGTTCACAAAAAATACACTAGACATTAATTTGGAAATCACCCTATGAATTTGACACAAATCCAAATATCAAATGAATTAGTATCCAAACACATGATTTGGTATTTGGAAATCCAAATCACAAATACCAAATCCAAATCATTGTATCCAAACGCACCATTATAGAATTCATAGTGTGTGTTTATGTATCATGAATAGCCAATTATTAAGGAATTATGTTTATTTGAGAAAATTTCACTCCCCATGCAATGCATGTTATACATTTTTCGTTCATGTCATGTGCATGTCTTTTTGTTCTCTAATATAATTGTTATCCAGACATGGTTTGATAATTGATACCCCTAGTTTAGCCCGTGCCCCGATACGTACATAGATGATCAGATGGCTTGATTAACACTACTAATACTCAAATAATTAGCAAGAAAAAGTTAAAATCGAGTGCCAGATCATAGTACAATGGGCTTCGATCAGTACTAATCAGTACATCATGCCCATGTAATTAAACAAACAAACGTTCATCAATCCGTTGATAAAGAACAACAATACGCGAATCAACCTTATAATTAAGCAACAAAATTTCGGAAAACATTAGACATGAAAAGTCCCCTCGGACGTAATATCGCCGGACTAGTACAAATCCGTTGGTAGGTGCTGAAGTTTACTGCTTGATGCTGCACCAACATTCAACCACAGATCATGTCAATTATATTGGAACAGGTAATTAAGCATATGTAAGTAAGTAAGTAAATCACATTCGAGCAAATGAGTGGGAACCTGTCACAGTCGGCATCAATGGAGAGCTTGAAAGGAACGTCGACTCCGCACCTGCTAGGAATCTGCTGCAACCAGCTGTCGACCAAACCTTTCTTGAACATCTGGAAGACTTGCCTCAGACAGTTGCACACACCTTTCTTGTCCTCCACGGTCTTGGCTTCCGCCGAAATATTGCGCATCCCGTCGCAGCAGGCCGGAGGGACGGTGTTCTGGTCGCCTTTGCCTTCCGCGTAGCTCAGGCACGGCCCGGCTTTGCTCCTCACGTCGTTGCATCCGACCACGGCGGCGTCGGATCTCGTGGCGGAGTGGCTGATCATCACAAGGACAAGGAGGGAGGAAACTGCCATGATATTCACCATCATCATCCTAAGCTTGGCGGAAGAGTTCATTGCGGATCGATTTTTAAGTCTCTTTTTTCCTCTGATCTTTTGGCTACTTACCAAATGAAGCTCTTCTTGCCTTTGGTTTGATTGATTTGGTGTTGTGTAGTCTCTAGATTTATAGTAAAAAAATAATTGGAATGGAGTTCCAATTTGGTAAGTTGGAATTTCTATGAGATTACTAGTTTTGTTTTTTTGCCTGAGTTGCGAGTGTTTGAGACTTAACTATGTGTACTTTCATTTTTGGTTTACTCTTGACAAATGTCAAATTGCAGAACAAAAGGTTGGGGAAATGAGTTTGGTGTATGTTTCACAAGTGGGGAGGAAAAAGAAACAGGAATAATTGTCGGCTCAAACAAAAACGATGGGAGATTACCAGCAAATACAAAAGCAAATGTGGCTACATAGAAAATGCGCTTAGTTGTCCCATATGGCAAAGATTAGTGTCATCCTCCTAAAGTATAGTATATCTCTGTATTTGAAGTTTTTAATAGCGTGTTTGGATAGGTTTATTTAAAATATATGTATTTGAAATACTAACATTTAAACTACATGTAATTCAAATTTGTTGTTTGGATATTCATTTGTAATTTGTTTGTATTTTAATTTTTATCATTTTTTAATCTAATTTTGAATTTTCTAATCACTTACTACAAATTTTGATAAATTACAGTTTGGTAACCAAAAAATACTCCACCCATCAAACTTACCAAACCGGTTTTTTCAAAGCTCAGGCTAACAAAAAGTTCAGATCTAAGCTTATTTCATCATCATTTCGTTTCAATCATACCTACAAGTATACAATATCATTCAATTGATCAGTCCCTCCACCTTAATCAGCTTGAACTTCCTGCCCAAAGCTATAACCTTCCTCGAGAATCAAATGACATAATCAGATCTTTTAATGAACTCGCTGATGTTCAGTCGATTAACATAATCGCTCAGACTATCCAAAGTCGTGATTATAGTTCCTTGCGCTGTTTTCAAGATGACTGCTACAACAACTACATAAACCCTTCTCTCTAAGGAATTGAGACCTTGGTAATTCTGTTTCTCAATCCTCTACTTGCCAGATACGAAGATACCCAATTTCATCTCTTGAAGGATATAAGTTTAGCTAAGGAGTAGAGTGGTAGATAGTGAGAAGCATTTACCGAGTTATTGACTCGCCGAAATACAGTGATTTGTCGTTGTCATCAGTCGTCTCACTTCGTACAACTTTCTATTTGTTCTGGCGACCTAAATTATAACCATTATTAAATATCTCATTCCCAAATTATAACCATTAGATCTAATTTTATTGTACTAAAAAATAAATGAGTTTTGTACCCTACCCCCGACCTTAATTGCACTTATTTTGAGAAATACATGAGACCATTACATATTTTGTGAGTATTCGTGGAGATTTAGGCATTTAGATAGTCTTGAAATGACGTAAAAGAAAAGCAAGGCAAGGAACATTTAAGTCATTGATGACCAAGCATGCATTATCTTACATGTTTATGAACAAATCAAAAGTAAATTACATTTTATTTTTTGGGCAAATACCACTACAACAACCGAATTATTTAACAAATGCCACTTGTATGCTAATATATAAAATATTTTATTCATGTACTCCACTATAATAATCTGTGTCATTTGTATCCTGGCAATTTCGTTGACTGTTAGATATAACAATTGACCAGACGATTTTGAAAACGACGTCAGATTGGGGCCGACGTGGCATCAACGTGGCCGACACATTGATGCCACGTCATTGCCACATCATTTTGTTCCTAAGTTGGAGGTCCTGTGTTTGAGGGCCGTCAATTAGCATTTTGAGGAAGACATGTATAATTTGTTTTGGGAAATTTGGATGGATGTGGTTGTAGTATAATTTTATTAGTATTTTTTTCATTTCTGGTAAACTAATGATACATTAATATCATGCAAGGTACTGTTAAACGGTGTGCGGTTTTGTGCTTGTATATATATGTAACTTGGTTGGGTTTAGTTGTTTACGTAGAGTTGTGGTTTGGCCCATGTAGTTGTGTATTGGAGTTAGGGCCCATGCATCGTTTGCATATTTGTACGTGATGGGATCCCTAGTTGAGCCGAGGTAGGGTATAAAGCTGGAGGGGAGGCGCCGCATCTAGAACATATACAATTTTCTGAACTCTCATCAGTACCATCAGTAGCCGATGAGATTACCAGCTCCTCCGTGGATTAGTCCTGGGAAACCAGGGATACCACGTAAATCTGTCTGTTCCGTTTACGATCGTTCAGTATCCATTTTCTGATTCTCAACATGTTATCAGAGCCTTCTATGGCCGAATCTGAAAGATTTTCTGTTCGTCTCACTTCGACCAATTTTGCGTTATGGGAATTCCAGTTCCGGGTATTTGTAGAAGGGAAGGGTTTGCTTGGAATCCTCGATGGTCAGACTCCGCGTCCAACATCGCCGCCTGCATCTGCTCTTGAGGTCGCTACGTGGAAGCAAAATGATGCTAGAGTGCGATTCTTGCTGCTCCATTCTGTTGATTCATCCACCTGCCTCAGTTTACGTCTCTTTCCCACATCTAATCGGATGTGGCGTCACTTGGCCTCGACTTATTCTACCACTAATCCTTCACGTCAATTCGAGGTACAAACTGCTCTAGCCCGTCTTGAACAAGGTGATCGTTCCGTTACTGAATATTTTAATGCTGCACAAGAGCTTTGGACTGAACACGATCTGTTGAGTGCTGCTCTTCGTCCCATGGCCGCAACAGTTGAGATGCTCGAGGAAAGACAACAGAATCGGATGCTTCAGTTTCTAATGAGACTCCGTCCGGAGTTTGAAAATATTCGATCCACCCTCTTGAATAAGGAGACGTTGAGGTTCGAAGGGGTATTGGGGTTGCTTGTGCGAGAAGAGATCCGCCTCCGTACCCAAGCACAACTGGATATGCGCCCGGGAGAAGGGGAAGCAGTCTTTGCTGCAACAAGTGCTAGTCCACTGCCATCTGGGAATCGACAATCAGCACATGCCTATGCCGCTTCACGTCCCCAATATCAGTCTCGAATTCCTGTTTCGGAGCTTGTATGTCATCATTGTCATGAAAAGGGTCACTTGCTAAAACATTGCCGGCGTAGAAATTTCTGCGTCTACTGCAAACGGAGTGGCCATATTATCCTAGACTGCCGAACCAAAGAAAGGAATGCCGCAAGGTTTGCGGGAGCCGAGCCAGTCCCATATCCGCCGAGAGCATATCCGCCAAGAGCTGGTCCCTCCAATTATCAGCCAAGAGCTTCACATGCTGTGACCATCCCTGCCGAAGAAATAATACATGGAGCTGGAAATGTTGCCGCTACAGCTCCTTCTGTTGAAGATCTTGTACAAGCAGCCCTTCAAAAGACTCTCCCAAGTGCCATTAGTGCCGCATTTGCTACATTCCAGAGCTCAGGTAAATCGATTCCTAAACCTTGGTTAATCGACTCTGCGTGCTTTAATCATATGACCCATGACGCGAGTGCATTAAAAGGAATCCAACCTGTAAATAATTTCGGCTTAACAGTGGCTAATGGGAATCAGTTGAAAGTTCAGGGTGTTGGGTTAGTTAAGAGTTCTTCCATATCTTTGCCGCATACTTTACATGTTCCGGGATTGGTACCCAATTTGGTTTCAGTTGGGCAGTTGACTGAACAAGGATGCTCTATTGTTTTTGCTCCGAACGGTTGTGTTGTGCAGGATTTGAAGACGGGGAGGCAGATCGGAAGGGGGAGTAAACAGGGGAGGACCTTTCTTCTCGAGGAACTTCATGATCATCCAATCAACTCATCTACGTGTCAATCCGAGTCTAGGTCTGTCAGTAGTCCAGTTTTCTCGAGTCTTTCGAATAATACATGGGACCTGTGGCATGCTCGTTTGGGGCATCCCCACTCTGGACGTCTTTCTTTGATGTTTAATCTTTCGTTACTTGGCAAACACAACTTTGAACCTCCTGTTAAACATTTTTGTCCTAGCTGTGTGGAAGCTAAAACTACTAGTATTTCTTTCCCATCTAGTACAACTGTTATTCAGGAACCTTTCGATTTAATCCACACAGATCTTTGGGGACCTTCCCCTGATGTTTCTCGTCGTGGATACCGTTATTTTGCCTTGTTCATTGACCATGCCACTCGATTCTCTTGGATCTATTTTCTGCATCTAAAATCTGAACTTCGGTCTGTTGCTCTAGAATTTCTTAATATGATACAAACTCAATTTGGTCGTACTGTTAAGATTATTCGATCGGATCCTAGTGGAGAATTTAGTTCTCATCCTCTTCATGAAGTGTATAAGTCTCGTGGAATTCTTAGCCAAATGTCATGTCCCGGGGTATCTCAACAAAATGGTTTGGTAGAACGAAAAAAATTGCCATGTTGTTGAGCTTACTCGGGCTCTTCTTTTAGCATCTCGTGTCCCGGCTCGTTTTTGGCCAGAAGCCGTAGCTACTGCAGTTCGTCTGATTAATTATCAGATCACTCCTGTCCTTCAACAAAAGAGTCCTTTCTTTGTTCTTTATGGTCGTCATCCTGATTATTCTCGACTACGTATTTTTGGATGTCAGTGTTTTGTTCTTCTTCCTAGGAGAGAGCGGACCAAGTTAACTTCTAAAACTGCCCGGTGTGCATTCCTAGGCTATAGCGATGTTCACAAAGGTTATCTTTGTTATGATCCCGCTGTCCAACGTGTTCGTATAGCTTGTTCGGTCATCTTTTGTGAACAGGTCATGTTTTTTGAGTCCACCTCTTCCACTTCAGGTTATTCTTTTCCCTCGACTAGCTCTTCTCTTCCCATGTTTGGTGATGATGATGAAGTACCTCCCCATGATCCTGGATCACCACCCTCTTCCTTGGATCTGTCTCCTACCGTCGACACCTCCACAAGTGCTGCATCATCCTCAACAGTTGGCACCATCACGCCATCATCTTCAAATGCTGCCGCTAACTCCTCTACCTCATCACCACACTCCGCGACGTCCGCAGGGGCTTCTTCCTCGACATCATCTACTCCTCCATCGGGTACTACATCCAATTTGTCATCTTCTCATGCACCCGTCTCTCCTCAACTACGACGCTCGCTTCGCTCCAACCGAGGGGTCCCACCTCCACATTTCCAGGACTTCGTGGCCCATGGTGTTTCACCTCTCTTTGTTCCAACTCGCTACAAGCAGGCATGTGGAAATCAAGTTTGGGATAATGCCATGCGTGAGGAATTTAAAGCTCTCGAAGCTAACAAAACTTGGACCGTCGTTGATCGCCCTCATCCCTCCATTCCAGTTGTTGGCTGTCAGTGGGTATATACTATCAAGATGACTCCGGAGGGAGCGATCGAATGCCACAAGGCCCGCTTGGTTGCTCTCGGCTATACACAAGAGTACGGTATTGACTACACTGAAACCTTTGCTCCC